AGATGGTCACTGTCATCATTCTAGAAAGTGTCTTTAGATGAAGCCAGCTGCATATATTATGGATGTCTACTTACAGGGTTCTAGATGAGATGGTCACTGTCATCATTCTAGCAAGTGTCTCTAGATGAAGCCAGCTGCATATATTATGGATGTCTACTTACAGGGTTCTAGGTGAGATGATATCATAGAGTTGGCGTGTGGAGTTACTTGTTGGTACACCACCAAGTGAAGAAACCAAAAATTATATAAAGAACCTTTGGTGGAGCTACGATTAAGAAGTTGAGTGAAAATGTATACCCCAGGAAACAAGGCTAGCTAGGAAACAGAAAACTTATTGAACTTATCTTTTTCTTTCTTGGTAGTATTCCATTCCATACCATACATACACTGACCACTCTTACTAAATATTCTTCCACACAATCCAAATATTTAACTATTTCCTTTATCCAGTTTAAAGATTTATGCCCTCATTGCCGAAATTACTAGATTATACACGATAATCGCTTATGGGGAGGGATAAAATAATATAAACCTTTCTTTGACCAAAGACCTTGAAGTTATCCTAGCACAGAAACACTACTTAAACTAATTATGTTAATTCTTATAGCTTTATGTCTTCATTCTTGAACGAACATAACTATAAACAAAGTTTCTGAGTGAAGTCATGATGGGCCTGAAATGGATTTTTGATATGCACATTTATTCATTGGCTTCATGAAGTTTTACCTTGTTTCATGGCAGAGTTTCTAACCTATTTTAAATGACGTATTCATAACATCTTCAACTTTTACTCTTCCTAATTTTTAACTCGAACAGCTCTCGTCATCCTGTACACTATAAACTTCACTTATTCACACTCTTATCTTACATCTGACTCCTGCTATGCACCCTTTGTTAAACATTCTATAGCTTATTCCCAGTTTGTGCGTCATCACAACAGTTTGTTTGTTTGTAGATAAGCACAAAGCTACACAATGGGCTATCTGTGCTCTGCCCACCACGGGTATCGAAACCCGGTTTCTAGCGTTTTAAGTCCGCATACATACCGCTGTACCACTGGAGGGCCATCACAACAGAGTCCATCAATTTCTTTGTCGTCCATTGTTACCCTAACTTTCCATTTGAACATCTTTTGATAAATCCAAGCTTTTGTCACGCAAACCATTCTTGAAAGAGTTCAAAAATCTTCTTATCGTCCTTCCTTAACATCGCTCTATTTTGTTTTAAATGTCAACAGCCATATTTTATAATTTCGACATCCTTCAAAGTAATACCACTTGTGTCTGAGAAATTCAGCGACAAACCCGTTTTTGCATTAACATTCTAGAAGGATCCAATGTTCAGTAATACCTATTGTCCCTGGTTTCTTTCTTTGTGTTACTTGTAACCGCACTGATAACAAGATTTCTCTTAATGTTAATTTCACCGTAGAGCAAGTATTCACTGTATGTCTAAATCAGTTGTTTACTGCGTATTCTGCAGCTTGAGTAATTTACTCTATCTGGACTTGTTCGCATCATGACAAGTGAACGTTTGCGTGAGCATCGTCGTCATACTTACTCTACAGCTTGAATTATCCTGTATTTCGCTACTTATGCTGCTTTTTCCCGCGTTTCTTCTAATAGCTCTACGTTTTGTTCTCCGATTTATTTAATACACGAAATAACACATGGAGAGTAAAATGCATTAGCTGGCGTAATAGTAATACTCGTATGGTGTTACATCATAAAAAAACGGATAAAAATTGTAATTGCATCATTCTCTATTGGATCAATGTGTGGTGTCAGTAAAAAGATTGTATAATCGCTTTGCAAGGATAACTTCTGGTACGCTTCCTAGGACCAGTTGTTATATAACATAACGCAATTGTTACAACTAGAAATATGACCTGCGCTTTTTATTACGCTAATGACAAAATGTCTCTACAAGTATAACATTTTGTTCTTCAATACAACTGAAATGAGATCTTCTTTCAGAATTGTCGCGTAGAGCTACACAAGGGCTATCTGGGTATCCGCTTCTTTTGTTTAACTGACAGACAATAGGGAGCGCAGCTAGTCAACATACCCACCGCCAACTCTTATAGTGCACCCATGACCCCGAAGGGCTGAGCATGTTTTTGTGGCAATGAGACATAAACCATGTACCATCGGATTTACAGTCCAGATTTACACTGACCACAGAGCCTCGTTCAACCCCGAAAATGAGAAATGAAATATACGTTGTTTACCGTGTTAATGCCAGTCAGTCTAAGATAACCGCTTTGATAGTGAACGGTTGTATATTACTACTTGTACACATTTTGTGATTCTAAACTTACACACACGAAGCGTAGCCTTTGTGGTAATATATTTTACATACCATGCAAATGCAAAAGACATTACTAATATTTTAAGCTTTTCTTTGCAGTCGGTGACTATGGTAATCAATTTATCTAGCATGAGAATAAAAACTAAACAAATAAAGTTCTTTTGCCCAAAATACTTGCTATCGGTTTTTAAAACACAAACACTGACGCAAGAAGACCCACCACGCCTCAGTAATATCAATCTTGTTTATTACCTCACGTGAGTACATTATCTGCAAGTAAAAGGCTAGGGAAAAACTTTTCTTTCCAAGCAAATTTAATCTAAATAAATAGAAGCCAATTTTTGGTTACTTTCTTTCTTTCATTTATTAATTGTTTGTTTGTTTTGCATTTCGCGCAAAGCTACACGAGGGCTATCTGCGCTAGCTGTCCCTAATTTAACAGTGTAAGACTAGAGAAAGGCAGCTAGTCATCACCACCCACCGCCAACTCTTGGGCTACTCTTTTACAGCGAATATTGGGATTGACCGTCACATTATAACGCCCCCACGGCTGAAAGGGCGAGCATGTTTGGTGGGACGGGGATTCGAACCCGCGACCCTCATTTATTAATGATGAGAAATAATGAGTCCTTTCGCTGTGTTGCGTACTTTGATGTGTTTCAATAATGGCATTGTATTGGTCGTTAGAAAAAATAACACAGAGTATTATAACCATCAATGCAACACATACTATTTAGGGAGGAACCTACTAATTAATTAATCAATTCAAACATACAATAACAGAACGTTTTACAGCTGAAAAATTCTGATTTTAATTATTACAGCGTTTCCCCACATAATATAGTATCATCACTAGATAACAATTACATTCAGTAAAACAGTTTGAATTTCAGAGAAGTTACAAATCCCTGATGGTGAAGACAAATTTTGTAGATGACGTTAGATAATTTTTTTTTTATTAAAATGAGGTGGATGAAATATTAACACAGACATATTGGAGTTCCTGGGTATTTACTTAGATTTGGGTTTGATGACTTTATTAATAAATAATGCTTCAGTTATTTTTATTCTTTGTTAATGAGCATTTGTGTGGTTTCTTTGGGGTTTTCAAAAACGTGTGAGGGTCCTTTAAGATGTCCGTTAAGTCTGATGTTCATTTCTTTCCCAGATTCTTCAATATAAAAGTGTTTGCAAGATTTGAATTTGATTTTGTATACGACTCCGTTGTTTTTATTTTCAGTGGGGTAATTATCAGAGATAAAGTTCTTGGTTTTAATTCCTAAACTTCGTAACATTAGTGTGCTTATTTCGATGTTGTGTTTTTTCAAGAGTCGTTTCTAAAATCTATTTATTTGATGTTTTCGACGGAAGGAACTGTTTTCACCTTTTAGATTTGTTTCGTGTTGATGTTGTTTTTTGTGTATGTGTGTTTTTGTTTGTTTGGCTGTGTCGATTATTCTTGTAAAGACTTCTTCCGGATAGTGTTTTTTCATCAATGAAGATTTCAGACGTTCTTTTTTATTTCAGCGTCTAAATTGCTTGCAAAGCATATATTAAAGACTATTTGAATAATACACTTCGGAGGTCATAGTTTCTGTTATATGGGATGAGCATATTTCCAATTAAGGTATTATTCTGAGTTTGTTACCTTTTTATGGACTTGAGTCTCAAATTCTGATTGTTTTCTTATGATGTAGACGTTTAAAAACTTCATAAATAATTTTTTTCATTTTCAGTTTTAAAATGGATGTTGGGATGTATGTTGTTAATGTGGTTTAAGAAATTTTTTCTTCTTCGTCAGAGTTGAAATCGCAGAAAACATCATCGACGTATCTTAATAAATGTGAAAAATTTCTGAAATCTTCATTCAGAAAAACAACATCAAACAAACAAAAGATACAAATCTTAAAGATAAAAATAATTTCAGCTTTATCTCCACTGCAGTTCCTTACGTCGAACACGTCAGCAAATATCTGATTGGATTATGGAAACGACTCGTGAAGAAACACAACATTGAAATAAATACACCAATCCTATTAAAATCAAGATCGTTATTACTAACAATTACCTCACTGTAAGAACAACAGAGTCATCTATAAAATCAAATGCAAATATTGCAAACACTTTTATATCCGAGAAACCGGAAGAGAAATGAACATCATTATAGGACATCTTATAGGATACTTACAAGTTTTTGAAAACATCAAAGAAACCAAACAAATCATGACTAAAAACAAGGCTGCTTTGAACAAAATACTTAAGGATTAGTAATAATTCAAGCCCAAATTTTCAGTTTTTAGGAAAACTTCCGTGTAGTATTTCTTTTCATAATCTAACATTTTAGTAAGGTTTGTTAGATATTAAACACCTACATTTAAAGTTTGAAAAACTACGCATGATGTGTTGTTATGAAAAAGTTCTCTAAATATTTTATCACTGAGAAACAGTTTTTATTCCTGTGCAATTTTGATAATGTTTATAAAGATACAAAGCCTTAAAAATTTGATAGGCTTTTTTTGTGTGTGGGGTAGACATTCTAAATCAAAAGACAAAATATTTTTTAATCAGTTGGAAAAGTTTTGCATGGATGATGTTATATCAGAAAAACAATGCACTACCACAACTCAGTAATTTGCTAACAATTTGAAGAACCAACAAATTGAGTTACATGTAATCATCATGTCTTGCAGCGCCCGAAGTATTCGATTGTGCATTAGACAAGTGCCCGGGCTACACATTTCCAGCAGACTGGTGGTCACTGGGAGTCTGTTGTTACGAGATGTTATGTGGAGCGGTAAGTGCTGTTCTGAAGATTACATTTTCTTGATTCTTGTTGAAGTAAGGAAAGACTCATCAATATATTTAGGAAAAATATAACAAAAAAGAAAAACACTATAAAACTGCTTTAAAGATAGCTGGAAGAGCGTTAGTAAGAAAACTTTATAATATAAGAGAGAGGGGTAAAATATTGTACATTTTAGAGCTGAACACAGAAAGGCAGAAAAACTAAATACAATTATTACAATGCACGCTATTTTGTCTATCTACTCGTTACTTCCTTCCACTCTTGTGGTTCGTGCATCACTAAAATCGGCCAAGATAGTAAACTCGGCCTTGGTTTTATTACTGAACACAGAAAGGCAGAAAAACTAAATACAATTATTACAATGCACGCTATTTTGTCTTTCTACTCGTTACTTCCTTCCACTCTTGTGCACATTTGGGGTTAGATATTGAGGTTGAAAGAAAAAATTATTTTTTTTGTTTCTCTCATTTCCACCATGCCTACTTTTCGTACCTCCCTTAAAGTGCTGAATAACCGCCTGTAGGACAGGTATGTCTGCTAATAAGATATAAAAAACAACAACATAACATTCATTGCATAACAATAAAACCTACTGTACTCGAATATCAACAAATGACAGGAAAAACCGAACAAGAAAGTTTATTTTCCGCAATCTAATAAACCGCTTTTAATTTAAGTTTAATACTCATTCCATGTACTTGTAATCATATTTAAAAAAGAAGAAGATACTTTAGATATATGAAATAAACATGAATTCAGATAGAACAGATATAATTACTCCCTGTGAAGTATTAAAAATATTCAGAACACAAAATGTTTATGCATACCACTAGATAAAGACTTATATAACTAAATTCACAGCTAAATCTAAAGTATAGAGATATTTTTCTTAGTTTATTTGTTTGTGATTAAGCACAAAGCTACACAATGAGCTATCTGTGCTCTGCCCACCACGGGTATCGAAAAACAATTTCTAGCGTTGTAAGTTCGCAGACATACCGTTGTGCCACTGGGGAGGGGGACTTTTTCTTAGTAAAGTCCATAGCAAATAATATATTTTAACCCACTTTATATTTAGTAATCGAAGAAATTCATCTTTCAAGAATATTTTGTTCTAAGTTAACTTTCGTTAGGGATTATATTATTAATATTAATTAATCTCATATTATAAACGGTATCTGGCCGCAAAAACAAGGGATAACACTTAATATAATTCGAGTTTTCAGACTATCTCGCTGCAATTAGTGGTAGAGAAGCATTGTTGTTTAATGGAAAACTCATTTTTAGCATATTTCTACATTAGCATCTGTTTATCAGTAACAATATATAGTAATAATAACTTGATTAATACCCTCCTTTATAAAGCATTTTAAAACTAAAAAAAAAATATGATATTCTATAACCTGAGCTCTTTCGAAAGGTGGACCTTTCTTCTCCAGGGGCAAACAGTTTGTCCTGAAGAAGAAATGTCCACCTTCGAAAGCGCTCGGGTTATAGAATATCGCATTTTTTGTACTTAATTGACTTCTCGAACCTACGTGTTTTTCTAACATCGTGCATTTTAAAGCTTTATGGTTGTCCTGCTTATCTTACGAAAATGTATTTAGAATTACCTACATTTCTTACCGTATGTGTTTATTTATGGGATACGAAAAAGAAAAAAGTTGAACATTTTAACTTTACAAAAAAATCACTGATAACACAGCCTAACATATCTCTGTTGTTGTTCCATAGCGGCCATACGATATTCACTCTAATACATCTTTGGAGCAGATCCACAATTTATTCCTCTTCACAGAACTTCAGTTTCCTTGCCCAATCAGTGAAGGAATGGGAGATCTGATAAGAAAGGCAAGTTACAGTTTTATCCCTTGAGAGAAATAAACAAGAAATGAAATAAACTTTTATCCACAAATACCCTAGCGAAATCACAGCCAAGGGAGAAGCAGTATCAGTCCAAGCATATGAAGATATAATTCCCTACTCACTGGAAAATGATATGTTGGATGACGTTGTGGCTAATTAAGAGGATATTTCAATATTCAAAATCTGAAAATTTAATCGAAACTTAGTTGTGTTGGTGGTTGGGGAGGATTACATTGGCTGAATGTGACTAATAACTCACGCCACCTAGCGGACTGTCTGATAGAAAATCTTAATAAATATTTATACGTACGCCATGATCCGTGAATACTTAACAGATAGTTTTTGAGACATTTATGTTGGGTATTTGTGATATAAGACGATGTAAATATCTACTTATTAGTTAAGATATCTGTTTTATAAACAGAGTTTGAGGAAAGGGGTAAGTTTAACAAAGTCTAGGCTAGAGTTAAATGATCACTGAAATTTGGAGCGTTAAAATTCATTAACGGATTATAGATTTCTATAATTACTTGCAACGTTTTAAATATAATCCCATTTTTATGTGAAGTTGCAAAGCATAAAGTATATAAGGGAATATCTACAGTGCTCCTAGGTACGGTGTAAAAGTTAATGTGGTAAATATTTTCAGATAATTTGGTTTGGTTAAAATAATAAATTTGTTATTCTTTTCGTCGATTCTGCTATTATAATCTATCTTTCTTTAAGCACTATTGTTGCTATATTCAATAATAGTTATATAAAATTCATTATTATTGTTGTTATTTACCACAAAGCCCCCCAGTGGCACAGCGGTATGTCTGCGGACTTATAACGCTAGAAACCGGGTTTCGATACCCGTGGTGGGCAGAGCACAGATAGCCTATTGTGTAGCTTTGTGCTTAATTCCAAACAAACAAACAAACAAACAAATTTATTATAACAATGATAAAACATTAAAAACGACAAAGAAACAATCCAATGATAACAACCTGATTACTATGATTATCACAGCAATAAGTAGCACCAGCTATTGATAGATAGTTGCCCTTGAAACACTGATACGTTTAAAGGTTTAAATTGTCAGAATACACACCAATATGCGATTTATCATACGACTGAATACTACTAACCTTAGAATAATAAATCGGAATATTTAATAATTGCAGTAACCTTATAGATATGCAATGGTTAATTGGATGGAAATATATCATTCACCAATCACTCCAGTGACGAGACTGAAAATTCTTATTGTGAGAAAATTGTAGCAAGTGGAGCTATTGCTCGCGAAAGCTGAGTTCATGTTTCAGTTCTTTTTTTTTTTCAAGAAAGTATCAGTCCAAGCATATGAAAATATAATCTACCTACTCAGTGGAAAATGATACGTTGGATAGCGTTGTTGCTAATGAAAAGGGTCTTTCATTATGCTCTACCAGTGATTAAAAATCTGAAAATTAAATCGAATATTTACAAATATATTTTCTGAATTATTTAAATTATAAACAAAAAATCAAGAGTACCAAAATATTTAGTTTGTTACGAGGAAAATGAGTTTTATATATTTTCAGCGGGTGACCCCTTACTTAAGAACTGGTGGAAAAGTAAAAACTAGAGACCACCTTTGGAAAACGTTAGAGCTTAGAACATTTCCATTAAATTCCAACATGATGAAAATTTTTGCCATGAAGATATTTCTCAATTAATGGTTTTTGTGGTTGTTGTTTTGGTTAGTTGATTGTTTGTATTAAAATAAATCAAAATTTATTTAAGGTTGTTTTGTTTTTTAGCTGTTGACTGTGGATAACTTCAACCGAATTAATACGTTAGAACATATGAAAAAACATAGTCACCTAACATCAGTCAATTTTAGCGCTATCTATGAAAAGAAAGTTACACCTACGTTTATACCATCGGTAAGTATTAATACCTCCGTAACTTTCTCAAAGTTACAAAGCAAGTAGATAACAGGGAACTCGACAATAATCCCTAGCATAGATCCTTAAAAACAAATGATGTTTAGTTACTTAAAGTTATTCTTGTTATTTAAAACACTTAGTTCTACTAGAGAGTGTCACAATACTACTAGCTTTTTCAAAGTAGTATTAGTGTTGTTAAGCACATAAAGAGCTAGTTGTGCACTGTCCTCCGTGGTATCGAAACCCTTTTTCTGGCGTTGTAAACCCTCAGTCTTACAGCTGAAACACCGGGGGGAGGGGGGAACTCCTTTTTTTTTGTAAGTCTATTTATTGGAACCAAGTATACCAATGATGAACGTGAAGAGAAAAAAAAACAAATACATTGGAATAAAGTAGTAACCGAAGATAATTATTTAGTTCATGAACTTTTAAGTTTAAAAGTTTATAAATACTAATTCACGACTTTTAATTGCAGCAGTTCTTGTGGATTGTTTCTTTATTTTGTACAAGTATAAACGTGCACAATGGGCTATTTGCGCTTTGCCCACTGCAGGAATCGAGTCCTGAAATATAGGGTTATAAGCTCTCAAGCTTACCACTGAGTCACCGGTGGCGTCTTCGTGGACTTAGCACCTCAAAATAACACTACTGATTTGTAAATTGGTTTAAACTTGGAATGTATTTATGAACTAGTTTTACTTGTTATTTAATAATTGTAAACTTTCAAATGAAAATTAACTGAAAATTCATACATCTTTTTAAGTGGGGAGGGGGAGGCTGCCGCTAAAGATAATTAATGAAGATATATAGATTTTATTTTATAATCAATCTGAATTAAGTTAAAGTCAAGAGTAAGACACATTTCTAACAGATATACAAAGCTTAAAGCACGGTGAACTCTATGTTTCGTTGAGGAGATTTCAATTAAATTTATTTGAAACGATGCTGAATTTAGAAACACGAATTTAACGCTTTATCTTATTTTTAATAAGAAAGATCAACTGAATTGCGACCCCACGTTTGAACTAGAAGAGATGATTATTGAATCGAAACCTCTTCACAAGAAAAAGAAGCGTCTATCTAAGCGGAGCTCGCGGAGAGATCCGGAGGGTAGCTCGTTCAGTGACGAGGTAAGGCGATGAAACCATGAGCAGCTTAATGTTTTGAATTACCTCATGTTGTTGTTAACGTTATGCTGCTTAAGAACAAAACACCAAACTTTTTCTCGAAATCTTTCCTAACAAAGCAGTAGTATGCTCTTTATTAAGAATGCTTTAGTTAATCAACAAAATAATTATAGATCATTAAAGAAGAGAAAGGTCATTACTAGGTTAATTTACCTAAAATATACACATGGTTTTTACAATCTCAAGAACATGCAAGTTACGATTCAACATTTCAAGCAGAATTATCACATTGAAAATGTATATTTTTCTTACTTCCCACTTTTAATAAAAAGAGTGATAACAGAGTTGCAATCAAATCTGAGAACAACAACAACAAATAAGTAATGGTGTAACTTATATGGAATATAGAAACGTTATCAGTGCTACGCTGTCCAACCGTTACTAGGATTTTGATACGCCTGAAATGTTAATCATCACGAACTGAAAATGCTGATGAAAAATTCAGCCCAGTGATCCTCACAAAAATTAGACTCTTTCAAAAGGCAAGTTAGAAATATTTTTGGGAGCGCTAAGGAAACTAAAGTCATTTTCAGTAAGTCGTCGGTTTGTTTTCTGTCAGTCGGTATATTTACTGTCACTTGGTTTGTTTTCTGTCAGTCGGTATGTTTACTGTCAGTCGGTTTGTTTTCTGTCAGTCGGTATGTTTACTGTCAATTGTTTTGTTTTCTGTCAGTCGGTATGTTTACTAGCAGTCGGTATGTTTACTATCAGTTGGTTTGTTTTCTGTCAGTCGGTATGTTTTCTGTCAGTCGGTTTGTTTTCTGTCAGTCGGTATGTTTACTGTCAATTGTTTTGTTTTCTGTCAGTCGGTATGTTTACTAGCAGTCGGTATGTTTACTATCAGTCGGTATGTTTTATGTCAGTCGGTATGTTTTCTGTCAGTGGTTTAATAAAATATCTAAATACGGAGTAAAGATACTTTTTTTCTTCTAGAAAATATGCACTGATTTTTATTATGAAATGGAATTCAATCATAAATTTCCATTTAATTCGCACAATGAACATTATAGAAACATTAAAGTCGATTATTTTCCAGTGGGTTTGCGATCACGTATTCTAGCACGGTTATTGCATTATTAAATTCTAAATGTATAAAGTTTGATGTATTTCCTTCTTTCTCCTGAGCAGGAAATGTACATCTGATATCGTACTTTGATCTGTTTGAGATGGTTTTATAATTACACTACGGAAAATAGTCGACTAATTAATGTCACTCAACTTGATCTTTGATCTTTTCCGTTTACTGGGGTTTACGTACCATAGGTAATACAATACCAAGTTTAATCATTTCATTTTATGTTCCCTGTACATTGGAACTTGAGTAGACGAGAACTCATTTTTCATGGTAGAAAAATAAAACGGTTTTCACTATAAAATTCCCATATGTTTCTAACAAAAGTACAAGAAATCAAAATTTCTACAAAATATATTCATTTCTAATGTTTTAATTTTTCAGGAAGCCGGTCCATTTCAAGTCTCTCTTTCTTCCATCCAAGAGCAGTTTAGAGTGTATAATAGAGAAAAGTAAGTTTTTCGTTTTCTTACGCCTAATTCTTTTTGCGCCATTTTTCTTTATAAAAAAAAGCCTGTTGTTATTAATAAAACTTTATCATATCAAGTGTAATAATAACACATTATTATTATTTATATTTATTTATTTTAATTATGTAAACGTTTTAATTATGATAATTTTGCACTGCTAGCTTATTTCTAAATAAAATAATATTTCGAGAATTTCTAAATAAAACCTTAATAGATTTCACTATGTGCTTCCCCATAGCTGTTTATGTAGCTTCTTCTGGGTAGTACAAATTACTAGACTTCATAATGTAAAATACTGGAAAAAGATGTAGCTCTTATATCCGGATTTCATTTTTTATGACTCACAGTATAAGTGTCGATTTTTAATATCGCTGCAAGTGAGTTTCTAATATTTAATATTTTTATTATTCCGAAACACTTAAAACATATACCAACTTAAATGCGTTTAAATTCAGTCTTACTTTGTTTATAACAGCACAGTACGATAACATGTAGGCACAGTTCAGTCATACTACATTTATAGTAATACGATAACATGTAGGCACAGTTTAGTCATACTGCATTTATAGTAATACGATAACATGTAGGCACAGTTCAGTCATACTGCATTTATAGTAATACGATAACATGTAGGCACAGTTCAGTCATACTGCATTTATAGTAATACGATAACATGTAGGCACAGTTCAGTCATACTGCATTTATAGTAATACGATAACATGTAGGCACAGTTCAGTCATACTGCATTTATAGTAATGCGATAACATTGCGTTCTTATGTTTATAATTGTATGTGGTCTTTAAAGCACAGTTTAATCGTACAGTTTTTACAGCGACCTGCTAACTTTTAAATCAGTTATATCTTGAAGCGCTTGTAATGAGGTTTTTAAGTACATCTCGTGTTCATATAGAAATGTCTTAATAGTTTTGGAATTGTTTACTTTTTTTGATTAGATGAAGCAGAATGTTTAGAAAATATATAGATTTTATTCTTTTAAAACAATATCATTCTTGTGTGTTATTTAATATCAACATTGTGTTGCTTAATTACTCTGAAATGAGTAGTACTTTGAGACTTTATTACTGGATTCATTTTACACCACCCAGAAAATCATTTTTATATTTCAATGCTTTGAAATACGGTTCACATGTGTCAAACTCTCTTAAATGCAGCAATGCTGGATCTAGGATTTTAACCAGGGATGTTAAAAAATATATAAAACTTTAAATTTAAAGCTTACATTCGCGGAACTTCCAAGCACGTGGTTCTGCTTTTGAAACTAAATAGTATTATTTAAAAGAGTCACTTAATTAAAGACATATTATGAAGTTTCTATATAAAACAAGTTATCGTCCAACTAATTTCTATTGGTTTTTTGAAGTGCAATGTTTTCTTCTATTTAGTCCTCTATATGGTCAGGCGTGGCTTGTGGTTAGTATGCTAAACTGTGAATCCGAGAGTCCATGGCTCACATATCTTCGCCACGAAAATATACTTCGCACATTGTGGCCGTGGACCCATTATAACAGTTATGTTCACGTCCAGTTATTCAACTATTAAAGACCTGGCCCGGTTCTAAATCGATCAAGAAAACCAGTTTGACATGTATCATTTTAGTGCTTCAAGTTTTTCCAAAGTATAAGAAGATTCCCAATTTGTGATCTAGTCAACAAACACTTCTAGTTTGAACTATAACAAATTATTGTAAAAGATCACCAGAAATAACCATACCTCATTTCTAAAGGCCTGGCATAGCCTAATGGTCAGGACACCTAACTCGTAGTCTGCAGGTCGCGGGTTCGAATCCCCTTCTCTGAACATGCTCGCCCTTTCAGCCGTAGTCCATCCCACTATTCGTTAGTAAAAATATAGCCCAAGCTGGTGGATGGTGTTGACTAGCTGCCTTCTGAAGATGTGATAAGGCTTGCTCTATTATCTTATTCAAGTGGTCCATGTGAAAGGATAAATGATTCATTAGCATATCGCTTCAAGGACGAGGTTATGTAAGTCAGATCAACTAGAGCATTTACATCTTTTTCAGTTGGCAGTGGAACTACACTCAATTAAAGTCGTGGTTGAACAGCTCCAGGAGTTGTGGGATTTTCAAATAAAATGATATAGAACTATATACTCCCTCTGATAGAGGTGTAGAAAAGCTCAAACAATTACAGTGTTGTAAACAAATTATTGCATTACCCAATGTTTTCAAACGTTTTCTTGGTTCTTGTAATTTTTTACAAGAGTGTACGTTGTGGAAGTGTCAGAACTAGTGTAAAATGGTTATGGACACTCATATTTCAGTCATCCAAATACATATATGCATCTTAATCAACAAACAAACCGTGATAAACGTATTACAGCAGATGATCAACAAATACTTGGCATATACAAAAATATTCTCTCAGTAAGAAAATCTACATTTAAAGACCACGTCACTAATGTAATTGACAAAAAGTGGTCACAGAGTCCGTTTCTCGCTTTAATATTTGGTTGATCACCCTCTGACTTTGATAACTGCTTGATATCGCCGTTGCATAGAAAGCACGAGAGACTGAATATATACACTAGTGAGTTGATGATGTCACACGAGGATTAGGACTTCCTGCAGTTCCAAGGTGCTTCTCGGATTCTTCTCTTGCACTATGTTGCCCATTACTTTCCAGCACTTTTCAATAGAGCTGAGATCTGGACTGTTGCCTGGCCAGCGTAATGTCTTTATTCTCTACCTTCGAAGATAGTCATTCACCTGAAGCAATGTAATAAAACCTAAGTTGTCTTTTCAATACACGTAAAGTGACATTTCCTCTTTATTTCAAGTCTACTGCATAGAGTGCATGAATATTACCAAACTTTCTAGTCTTGTGGCGTGGAATGTCCATTGGTCAGATTCACTGAAATGATCCCAAATTGTCAACTGTAATCGAGACTCGATGATCTTGATGTACTTTTCGGTACTTACAGTACCTTTCACCAAATGCAGACATATCACACCCTGGCCAGAGATACATCCCCACATCACCAGACTCTGCAGATGTTTCACAGTTGCATTCTAACAAGCAGGATGAAAATCTTCTCCACATTGACGTCCTACAAAGTACTTCCCATGTGAACCATGCAGGTTGAGCTTTGATTCGTCCGAGAAGATTACTTTGTTCCACATTGTCAGCAGACTCTTTGGCCAAGTTAAACCTCATCTTTCTCAGCTTGTTGGTAAGGAAGGGTTTATATCTCGGCCATCTTTTTGAGTGACTGGCTAAACACAGGTGAGACCAGATAGAGCGCACGGTGGCAGTCACCCTTGAGGTTTCCTGCTATTTATTTTGATATGTGGACAACAGTCGACGATTCTGAAGGTTCAGCTGTTTCAGAACACGATCGTCAACTGCTACAGAAGCGTTTTTTCCACCTCTACCCTTCCGCTGCTCCACACAGCCAGTCTCTCTGTGTCTTTGCACCAGCAACTCACAGAAGACTGATTATATTTAATTCTTTCTTTGCTTAAAGAAACAATGACTTTTTCATGGAGTTAACTCGCAACACTTGGCCATGGTAGCATCACACACACATGTTGTAATATGTAAACTTTTAAACTGACTCTCAGTAAGAACCTCTATGTATAGCCAAACGGCTGATGCAATTCTTAGACAGCCTATAAATCTGCTTATGTAATAATTAGACAGTATTGCATCATCCATGAAACACATTTGCACCTATATGCATTAGAGCTTCAAAACATACAATGATTCCAAAGAAAAATGTGATAAAATTCGATGATGCTTTAAATTTCTCCACCACTATAATTAGAAAGTTATGAACTCAGGATGGAAGAAGTAAACAACAAGACAGAAAAACTTCTGACATGTCTAATCCAATAGAAGGTGTTTCTTTGTTTCTTATCAAGCACAAAGCTACACAAATATTTACTGAGTATCGAAATCCAACAGAAGGAAACCATTATCAAGTACAATAATATTAATTTCCTAAAAATTCTACCTTTTCTTGGCGTAACTAATGCGATAAACTTTATAATTTGTCATACATATGTTCTACTGACGATTACTTTAGTTGAAATTGTTTTAGAAACTTAATTACATGTTTTATTTTGTTATACTGAACTCTTTTTTTTTATGTATGTGTGTATGAAAACTAGTTGATTTATGGATTTACGACAGTATTATAATTTTCTATTATTTCTTCAACCTTAAAAAATCGAGGTGATCACCCATCATTATCGTTTAATTTATCTTAGTGATTTATTCAGTTGTAATAATTAAAAATCTCTAGAACTGGTTGGTTAGTTGTTGTTAAAAATCGAGGTGATCACCCATCATTATCGTTTAATTTATCTTAGTGATTTATTCAGTTGTAATAATTAAAAATCTCAAGAACTGGTTGGTTAGTTGTTGTTAAGCGCAAAGTTACACAATGGGCTAACTGTGCTCTGCCCACCAGCCAATTTTTAGCGTCGTAAGCCTACAAACTTACTGCTGAGCTACTAAGGAGTATTTACAAGATATTCTTACTTTTTCAGTTCACAGAGTGGAATTCCTTGTACTAATTTTGTTGTTGTAATTATAACTAACTGTGTAATCTTCTGTGGAAAAACATCAAAGGAAATTATCCACCCTCTTTAAATAGGCTAAAAGCTTTTTAATGATTTGTTATTTTTCAATTTTTAACTTCCAAAGTGAATACGTCAACATTATTATATCCAGTTAAATGATAGTACAGCATGAACATACCTTTGAAACGTTTTTTAACAGTGAAGAATACTTGACTTGGTTAGAGTCCACCTTTTTATTTACCGCAGTTGTAATCATTCCCACAAAAAATAATTAGAGAGTTAAAAAAACAACTGCTAAGTTTTTTATATTTCCATAATTTCAGGAATCTTGTAATTTTTACTTAGGTGTTCAGGCTTAGACAGGTATTGTATTTAACTTAAACAATGTTAAATGTGTGGTCGGGAAAATGTAGAATAAATAAAGAATATTATATTTAAAGTCTTGGCTAGTCCCCCCCCCCCCCCCCAGTGATACAGCGGTATGTCTGCGGACTTACAATGCTATAAGCTGGGTTTCGATATCCTTGGTGGGCAGAGCACAGATAGCCGTTTGTGTAGCTTTGCGCTTAATTACAAACAAACAAACTTGGCTGGTTAAATATTCAAGATATTAGATCTTCATTTATAATAGTTTAATTCTACGTTCCTCTTGTTTAAAGTGTTTTGTAAAATAAATGCATACTTTCAACTAATGGAAAATTTGTTAAATTTTGACTTCTTTTTCTGTTTGTGGTAGAGAACTTCAAAAACAGATGTGTAAACAGCGTGAGGTAGAATGGGAAGCCGAACTCCAAAGAGCCATGAGTTGACTCATTGTGAAGTTCTAAGCAACAAAAAAGCACGTCCAAAAAAGATTCCAGTTGAATTCCTGTGCCAATATATATATACTGTATATACTTAATTAAGTACCTTCTCCTTAGTTTTTAAACCGTGAGTGGAAATATAGAAACAGTTCAATCACTCTTGATGAATATAAAAAAAAAGACGAAAAAGTTATTAATGCTCTCATACATAATCACAGACAACAATTGAAATTAGTCACAATAAAATTGAGCATGTATTTGTTAAATCTTATAGTTACGGTAATATATAAACAAGTAAAAAAACGGCTATGTCATCAAGTTTATGTTTTGTGAAATACATTTTCCATGTATGTAACACAACATTTGTAAAGTTTGTTTTTGATGTTTAGGATTATTTATATTATATATATATATACGATAATATCACTGAATTTCTATCTGCACAATTCATGTAGTTGTACTTGTCTTTATTCCTTTGCACTATTTAAGGAAACTTTAAATTAACGAGAAAACAAGGAAGTGTGTAGATTGAAACCCTTCAGATTTTGTTGTTGTTAAATGTTCTCTAATATAATTGAAGCATGCACGATATCGGTTGTATAAGTGACATTCGGTGATAAATAGATTACCAAAGATATTGATATCTACACTAATTTTCATTGCTGTGTTTAACAAACTAAGTTAATAATAACAAATGAAAACTAAGATACGCTCAGTTATTCACCAACAACCTGAAAACTAGAATATAATTGAAATATACCCCAGTATCTAGCATACGAACCCTAAAAATCAGATTGGTCAACTACCATTGTCGGTTAACTTCCTCAGGAGTCTTAGTGCCGTATTCAGTAGTTATCCTTAGGAATCTGTAAGAAATTTTTACAAATTTCAGTTCGTATAGTGGAATGCCGAGTTCTAATTTCACTGTTGTGATTATGAATAATTGTACAAATTTCTCTGTGAAAACCAACGCAAATTACCGATATTCTTTGGGTAGGAAAATTTTGAGAAAAGAAAACACATTTATAACGCAATAAAAAGTTTATAATATGCATGTTTTAACGTTTCTCTGATAGGAAAACAACCAGATGTTTTATTATTTTTGTATGCTTTGTTACACATTCAAATAAGTCTTTCAGCGCGTTTCATTACATATCTCATTTTCTTTTCTTTAAGTGGGAGGTATCTTGTTACATTGTTTACAGTATCTGTCGTATTGATTCAGTTTTACACTTCATTCATGTTGATTCAAGACTTTTGAGAAAAGAAGCTTTCCTTGGTAGTATCGAAACATTTAAATTGTTGTTGTTTCTTAATTCATACAAAACGAAACCTTCCTTTACGTTTTAATGTCTATAACATATTTTAAACTTAACAGAGAGAACTTTTGACATTCTGCTTTCTGTACGTCTTTTCGAATTTTTATAATTTATCCCTGAGATGAAAAACATGTCTAACAGGCATGATCAATAAGATCGTCTACGTCTTTAATTCCATCTTTTATCCCCCATTGGTTAATATAAAGGATTATCAATATATTTGTGGTATGCTAACGCTTATTAAGTATTTTTCATTTTAGTTAATTAATTAGGAGAACATTTAATGTTATGCTCTCTTTGTCTGGAACATGGTTCAACAAGCTCTTCAAAAGCAACTGTTAGTCCATAAAAAGCGTTATTAAGGTCACCCTCCAGTAAAAGCGCAGTCTATTATCAAGTACATTAGACTACTTTGAGTGTTGTTGTTTTTTTTCTTTCAGTAACATTAGTTTCACTTTATATCGTGTTTGGCCTTCTTTATTTTCAAACTCAGAAAGACTCGGAATTTTCAGATTCAACTCTATGATATATTCCCTGAGCTTTCGTCCTATTATTTGTGGCTACTACTTGAAAGGTAAATCAGTAAACCAGCGAATACCAGAGATTGTATATTAAGGGAAAATTTAGGTTTTATGGCCACAGGATTTGTTTTGTGAAGTTATCAGTTTTCTTGACGAGTGTATTTTACTGTGCTATTTTAAGCTTTTATCTGGGTTAAGTTTATATATCTTCAGACAAGAAAATGGCACTTCCACAAGTAGAAAGATTTAAAACCAAGAGGAAAACACCATTACTGGGCAAAAATGGCAGTCTCAAAGAGTAGTTGGAGCTCGTAGAAGTCCTCTTCTGGACCATGAAACATTACTAATAATGTAAGTACTGCTGTACATTCGGTAGACGAACTGCTGGTGTACCCAGAACTAATGATCGAGTTTCCTCTTGGGGATCATTCTCAGTATACAGGTTTTTAATGGTCATCGTGGTTACATGGGATCTGGTGAGTCCAAGATTGAACAGGACTTCTAGGCATTTCCCAATAAGCCTTTGCCCTCCAACTCTGGTCGTTGACATCCAAAACCAACTGAAAGAGACGTGAAAGCACTGATGAGGAACTCATCTGCCAGCCCATGCTATTCTGCCGAGAGGTGAGACAATGGACACAGAATTATGTAGATAATGATCCATGGGAAATTCATGATCCTCCCTATGATCAAAAGCATGTTGTAGGTGCGACCATCAGTCATGAAGAAACGTGGGATGGTGCAGAGCCTATGGATATACTTACAACAGTGACTCAATGTTTTGTTGCCTAGGAACAAAGATATAAATGTACGGTCCCTGAGCAGGCTTACTACACTTTATCCCCAACATTTAGGACGTTTCAGCCAAGATTTAATCGAAACTCCATGCGAGAAAGGCTGGTACTGTCATGCAAGTCTCTGGAGTGAGATCAAGCATATTTTAACATATGTTTAAGAGTAAAGTTAAAAAACATTTAGACTATTTCTTGACGTGTTTCAAAAAGTAACTGCTTAGAATGGATAGATGCTAAGTTTGGATGGACTGACTCTTGATTGATCACTTGAGTCAACCTGATGGAGAACTGAGCTATTTATTCAAGATTTGAAAAAATTATCCCACACAGAACTTGGCTACTTATGTGTATCATTTACATCTACATGATGGTATCTACACTATGGCATCTACAAAGCTTGAAGATATCTTCATAGATAAGTTCATTGAAAGGCTACCAAGTGAAGTGATTCGCCCTCAACTGGATGTGAGAAACATTCTCACACTGTTTGGGTCAGTGTCTCTGATAACTAGACTCGAAATTGATAGCTTTGTACAGATTGAAATAGAGGGAAAACCCCACAGAGACGACTGATGTGATTGTACCACATCTACTCCTAAAGTGCCTGTATTACACTGAGTTCGTGTTCTGCCAAGAGTTGATAGCCATCGACATATCTTGGTCAATGTGATACTACCTCAGTTGACACCGGTGAATACGTAGGATTTTCTTGATCCTTTCATGATGTTTGTGCCACAGTGGATTCTGATGGTGTCTCTGTTTACATGTCACTCTGAAGGTGTGTCCAAAGCATATGCTTTTATTGTGAGTTGATGGGTTACTGTAGAGTGAACTGCCTATATGGACAAAAACTCCTCATTACACCCGACTGCTCTGCAGATGCAAGAGGGTCATTAGCAAAATACGTCTGATGCTGCTCTACTTTCTGAAAACTAGCAGAACCCAAGTTGCGTCTGGCCACTGACTTGAGGGAGTCGTGTATATACGAGCTGCTTCCACAACACATTCATTCAATCGTCACGTATTAGAAGCAACTGTAAAATTAAACTGCTATTAATGCTATTTCCTATGAATACATACCGGATGGAAACTACGCTGCAGAGATACTTTCAAGATGCTCGATGGTCAGATAAAGCATGACTGGACGTGACAACACGGACAGTAAAAACGTGGTGAGTCTCAAAATCGGTTTAATATAACATACTCAACCTCTAGTCATTTCATTTTTGTAAAACAGGTAATGTAGTACCACTTTTCATTTAAATAATAAAGGGTTACCATACTCCTGCTCTCCTGTGATAAAACATACTGGCTGTATCAGTGAGATTACATTTTTCCTCTCTAGATCATTATAAAGTCAAGCACGTACATTCATGGGCGGCGGAATCGGGGAAAGAATGTACCCTCCTTCCAAATTTGACCTGATAACTTAGTGACACTTTCAATGGGGAATAAAGATTTGTGTATAATTAACAGGGAAGTAGCAAACAAAAAATAAGATACCCCTAGCTGTCGATTATTCTCAAATTTACATCTATTCCGCTGCCTATACATTCAATGACGTCCTCGCGTTAGCCTGTGAAATATTCTTGTTTTCAAATATCCACGTTGAAATTAAACTAGGCAGGCATTTTTGTTAATATATATAACATATTTTATTGAAGTATATAGCTACTTCCTCAACATAAATTTTTTGTTAATATATATAACATATTTTATTGAAGTATATAGCTACTTCCTCAACAGAAATTTTTTGTTAATATATATATCACATATTTTATTGAAGTATATAGCTACTTCCTCAACAGACATTTTTTGTTAATATATATAACATATTTTATTGAAGTATATAGCTACTTCCTCAACAGAAATTTTTTGTTAATATATATCACATATTTTATTGAAGTATATAGCTACTTCCTGAACAGAAATTTTTTGTTAATATATATAACGTATTTTATTGAAGTATATAGCTACTTCCTCAACAGAAATTTTCGTATGTAAAATAAAAATACGTTAAATCATAAGTTAAAATAGGAAGTTGCGAAGATAAACACATTACAAAATGGGCGGCGTTTCTTTTCAAGTTTACGTATACTTCAGAAAGCCTTCATTTTTGTTTAACTCACCAGTTAATTTTTGATTTTGTATTTCAAAAACATTTGTGACCTTTCATACATACGTTTTCTAAAACAAATAAATTTTAATAATATCTGACTTTAGATATTTAAAATGCCTTAGAACAAACTACCTAAATGCAACACAGAAAGTTGAAACAAACTGCTGAAAAAGTAATTGGTTCTGTGCCAGGCATATATTAACGTACAACCAGAACATTTGGGGTTGACACTGATATATGGTAACACAGATAACCCTTTTCAACCTCCGTTACGTGTCTGAAACACTTGTTAAAGCAAAGGGGTTATAGTACACGAGGAAAGGTAGTTAGTATAGAATCATGCGTATTTAGGAAACTGGTTTCAGTAATCCTGTATCAATGTGTTTAATTTCTTTGCTAAAAGTGTTCGTTTCTTTTTTCGTGAAATAAAACGTAACAAATATTGTTTCACTATGAATTCGGTATTTTAGTAAACGAGCACTGTTTAGTT